AGATCACGTCGCCGCGCTCTGAGTGTTATTCTGGGGACGTCTGGAACTGCTAGCTTTACCGTTTGAGCCACCAACTCAATTCAATCCGCCTCTCCGCGTAAAACCTGACAAACAGACACCAGCAAGCTGTAATTCCGTCTCACCTCCAGAGAATTATATCCGCGAGTCCCTAATAAATATTTCGTCGGATATAAGTACGGGTAATAGCCGTAAATTTTTTTATATAGAAATCTAAGGAAAGCTTTCTGGACTTTTTCTAACAATGATGTGTATTTAGCTTCATGCGGATTCCACACAAGCGACGATGTCTCAAGCTTGCTTCTGACTAAGGCATTATAGACTATTCGAATAGCATCAGTGTCACAAAAGTCTCTAACGTTACGTATTACAAAACCAAGTCTCCGAAAGCAACTAGTAGCAAGTGTCTCTATATGGCCATGAAAAGTGAAGCGCGGGTCAAAGACTACCCCCAGATCCTTCACCGAGAAGACTCGATTAATTGGCTGTGACCCAAGCATGTACTGCACATGTAAAGGAGCTCGTGCACGGCTGAATGTACAAACGAAACACTTATCAGGGTTAAAAAGGAGTTTGTTTTCCACACTCCACCGGAAAACCGCATTGACGTCGTCTTGCAACGACTCATAGTCCGCTCTCCGCTCCACACCATACACTAATTTAAGGTCGTCAGCATAAAGGAGACACCGGGCACTCTTAAGAACTAATTCTAAGTCATTGACCATTAAATTAAATAAGAGTGGACCCAATACCGAACCCTGACTTACACCAGAACGAGTATGGTATGGAGCAGAGACGTAGCATCCATGCCGTACATACTCCTGCCGATCTCGCAAATAACTTGAGAAAAATTTTAGCATTCTAGGGGAGAAGCCTATGCCATTCAGCTTGTTTAGAAGCACTTCATTATCTACGCGATCGAACGCCTTTTTAAAGTCAAAATAGAGGACGTCAACCTGAATTCCCCTATCTAAATGTTCAGATATTATGTCAACCAAAACCAAGAGGTTTGTGTTGACAGAGCGATTTAATCTGAAGCCATGCTGTGAATCACCCAAAAAAGGTTTAATTTGTGGAGACAAGGCCCGATGTAATACCGATTCAAATAACTTAGCCAGAGTAGAAAGAACCGCTACAGGCCTGTAATTCTCAACATTGACAGTATCATTTGTCTTCGGAATTGGTCTGACTCTCGTGAGCTTCCACTGGTGCGGGTATACTCCTGATGATAGCGCCAAATTAAACATAAAATGTATTGGCACTTTAAGTTGGTCTATACAGCCTTTGACAATATATGCAGGCAGATTATCAGGGCCTACCGAACAATTAGGTTTAAGGCACTTTACTGCTTTCTCTATTTCCTCCATTGATATATACGCAATGTTAATATAGTTGGCATTACAACTTTGACTGCTGTCTCTCGGAAAGTCTGGGTCCAGACGGGGAACACCAGACAAAAATACACTAGAGAAGAAATTCGAGAACGCACTAGCCACCTCACTACCAGCATACTCCCTCCCCTCAAAAGTAACGCGGGATGCGAAACCTGACCTTGACTTCAGACTGTCCAAGTGCTGCCAGAAATAATAATAATAATAATAATAAATTTATTCAATTTAAACATACAGCACTTAAACTAGATGACTACAATAAGGTACAATTCGATTGTATGGGCAAAACAAAAGTTGAACCATCATAACCTATTCTAGGTACAAAACCTGTGTTAATAGTGTTACGAAGATTCTCCGTTTAGGCAAAATCAGAAAAGAAAACAATCTTTGAACTGCGGCAAAAACTGAAACAGTGTAGTGCAGTGCCGTGAATCTAGTGTAGAGCAGCAATAGCAGTAATAAAAAGTAAGTAGAAAGTATGTGTATGTGTAAGTGTGTGTGTGTGTGTGTGTGAAAGTGTGTGTTTGTGTGAGTGTGTTTGAGTGTGTGTGTGAAATGAAATGGAGTAGAGTGCGCTTAATAGCATTTATATAGATAGATAAATAAAATAAATAGATAAATAAAATTTAAGTATGGATGTCTATTTATGATAATATAACCAGGAGTTCTTCCGTCTTCTCATAAGATAATTTCTGTAACCATTTTCTTAGTATATATCCAACTTCATACTTGTTTAATGCATATATTTGATGGGATTTATTAATTTTATTATATAATCTAGTACTAAGTGCAGTTAATTGTCCGTTAGCAAAGGCAGTACGGCATCGCTTGGTATCACAGACAGGGAAACCTTGTCGTCTACCAAGAAAAGCACGTGGGTCGTCCTTTATTCTAGCCTGGATTCGATAAAGATAACGGTCATAGGCGGACGATATATGTTTCTTCACCGCAGATCTCAATCTAGCGAACTCATCATAAATGACTTTACTTTTGGTGGCCTTCCATTCTCGATGTAAATGACCTTTGCGTTTTATGTCCTTGATTAAGTCTGCGGTGAACCAAACTGGGTAGCATCTACTGGAACCCCCCGATCTAATCTTCTTAGGTATAGACATATCAAAAATAGAATACACTATGTCATAAAAGTTTTCAACAGCACTGTTGATATGTGCTGCATCTAGAACTTCCCGCCAACTTACGTCTTTGATTAAGTGGCATAGAAATTCGTAATTACCTTTACCGAAATTCCAATCCCGTCGCAAGTCCACATTACTAGGATCAATTCGATCAGCAGGTAGCCGTCTCCTATTATAATCCACAGATACTTCTAGCGGCGGGTGATACGCATCTCGTCTTGAAACCAGTCCGACACTTTCCATTTCGTTGACTTTAGTGCCTGAAAAGCACTCTGACACCAACACCACATCTAACTTTCCACCATATGTATTCATCACTTCATTCATCTCTTTTAACCCACATACAGTCAAAAAATAACAATAATAACTTAAAATACTTTTTGGTGTATACAATGGATTTAAATTTAAGTCACCAACTACGAGCACTAATCCCTTTACAGTGTTCATCGCAGATTCTACAGCGTGGAACCATTGCATATATATTGTTTCTGGAGATCCCGGGGGAATGTACACTACGCACAAATTAACTGTAACACTATCCACAACAAACGATACCCATAAATCTTCCCCATTTGTAGTTTCCAAGTTGCGATGACGCTTCAGCTCAAGTCCATGCCGCGCCACCACCAGGACACCACCTCCCATCGCTCCAGTTGCCCGGTCTCGACGTAGCACTGTCCATCCACCACACGATATCTCAGAATCATTGACTGCTTCAGTTAAGAATGATTCAGTTATGGCAACTACATCACATTCAAGTGACAAGAGATTTTGTCTGAAGTAGCTCAGCTTCGTGTTAAGCCCTCTGACATTCTGATATATAAAGTTCAATGTCAGAATCGGCACTCCTTTAAGCTTGACGTTCCGTGTGGACTGATGTATTGCTTTGCGGCTTCCGAAATAACCAAGCCTTTACTCGAGCATTTTCAGGCCAGACCTCTGCAGACAGACATTTGTCGTAAAGTTCTTGTGGAACACCAATTTTGTAAGATTTATACTCTCCTTTAGTCTTGAGCTCCTCGACTGTACAGGTTTTTCCCGGACACAGAATTTGCATATATGCTCGTATCTCGTCTACCCCCGACGCCATGTTCCAAAGGTGAATGTATTTGCGGTACTCAACTGCCTTAAGTGTCGTCACATCTGGACCAGCAGTGCAACGTACCGAGGAGATCCGTTTCCTACGGTTACGAACCTCCTGCCATTCTCCCTCCACCGGCACCACCACTGGGTTCACATTATCTTGCAGGTTACTGAAGTCCCTGGGTGATCCAGCAGCCACATCCGCATATGTCACTTTCTTGGAAGTACCGATATCCACACTTGTAACTGGTTTGTCTGTCTTTGGGACAGTCAGCTCAACCTCCTGTCTCTTTTTCGTTGTTTTTCCCTTCGTGTTTTCTGTTACTACCGGCCCAGGCACAGCGCATCGACATGAGCACGGCGAAGATAGCTCCAAGCGTCCTAGCCTCTCACTGACCAACTCTAAATTTATGGAGCAATCAGCAAGTGCAGCATGGTATCCTGCCACCGCGGAGACAGCGTCAATCAGCCTTTCGTTCAACATAGTCATCTGGTCCCGAATACTTTGCATCTCCATCAATAAGATCGTGGATTCATCTGGGCACTCCAGTGATGGCTTACATTCACTCTTGCTCCTAATTGTAATATTTTTAGTAGTTACCGGAGTACCGACAGGAATGTCGTTATTCCGTCCATCCTTTTTAACTAAATTACAACACTCGGGACACACCCAAGTATTTTTTTTGTTTGTCGTGTTGTCTCAAGGGCGCAGTGGTAGTGCCCCACAGATCTGTGATTTACAGCCGAGTGGCTCTGCAAGTGCTATGGATAGGCGCGTCGCTTATCACAAGGCTTACGACTTGTTCGTCTCGTCATTTGGCGCCATGTTTCCAATAAAAAATCACAGGGTGTGACAGCAAATAATATAAATAGGTGTCTGTAACTAAATTTTCACTGCTATTCCTATTGTTATCAAACAATTAAAAATAAAAGGTATCAAAAACAAATAAAACGCAAAACAATTACGTTAAAGTTTATTACATTCACATACATAAGTCATACATTAAATTGCCGCCAACTAACAAGTTAAGCCTACATTAAAGATAAAATTTCCAAAACAAATTAACAAAGAAATTATCCATTTTTATAAAATATGTGTTTAGTACAAAGTACAAAAATGTTTTGGTTTCATACATCGAGACTATACCACTACAATTATACATAATGTTATATATGTAAGTATAATAATAAGTATGCATCTATCTTCTTTACAGAAGAATGTTTAAATAGAGTTGCTATTCTTGTACCCTTAAGAAGTAAAAGATACTTTTTAATGTTTTCACCATGATTATAACAGTCCACATTATTATTTTTTTAATAGGTAATAAATTGTACAATAAAAATGAAACGAGTTAACCGTGGTGTTTAAATTAATGCGTAAGATACTTAGTTCTAATTTTAAAATAGTTATTACATATATTAAAGAGATTATCATATTTTGAAATATTACATTTATTTATTTAATAAGACACCATTTTAGCCTGTTTTTTTAAACATTTATATTTAAGTTTAATAAAAATTCTCTTTGCGCGTATGATTTTTTTTCTATTACAAATTATATCAAGTACTGTAATGTTTTGTTAATGAAATTTGTACAAAGCTAGCAGTTTGCTCATTTTTCTTTTTTTTTTATTAAGTTGCGCGCGTATGTGTTTTCATTGTGGCAGTATATAAATGAGGGCTATTGACACCACGCTTGTTTATTGTTACTTTCAATTTTCTTATTATTGTATTACTTTCATTAAATTCATTTTGAGTTGTTTTTGGCTTACCAATAAAAACACAGAAAAATGGTACGGAGAAACACGCAAGTGCTATAAATGTTCAGAAACACTTTTCTGTGTACTCTAGAGTGGAAACGTGGAAAGCTCGCATTTAGTGGAGGATTTAACACTTAAACTTGTGTACATTTTCCATAAAAATAGAAACAAATTCATACATGCAAAGGCGTACATATATCTAACAGTATATAATGTATTATACATATCTAAAACTATAAGAATTGGTGTTCCATTACCCCCAGTGGACGTTTGGCTAACGCGGGCATATGTATATTTTATATTCTACATGTATATATCTATTCAGTTATACAGGGTGTTAGTAGTTTAGTTGTAATGGCTATTGAAATCCTTGTAAATTGTTTGCTGTGTGTCAAGGGAAATCGGGACATGTTTAAAAAGTGTCAGGTATTGGTTAAAATCCAAAATTATACGTCATATACTTCAGAAATAAACGCCCTAGCACCCTGTATAATGTAAGTTTTCGAATGTCACCATAAGACGTCTGTTAACTGTAAATAATAATTAGTTACTTTCGACGGTTTACGTCAGCTTGTAGTAACGACGTCATTGAGTGACATTGAAGAGCTCTAATTTTAAAAATCTATACAATAATATATTAAAAGTATATTTTATTAAAAGCTGCAAAATTAATTAAGGCACGTAAACAATCAATGACAAATATTACGCTTACAATTAACGATTAAATTATTGTGTTTAATACATTTTTCGATTTCAGCATGGCGCATCGTTTTCCGTTTTATGCAACTTCCGTTGACGTGATCGTTACTAATTCGCTATAAAGAAAATAAAAATAAATATCTTTAGTGACTAAACGCAATAGTAAATAGTTATTGTTATATTTTTAATTCTTTATTATTTAGTAGAAGCTGACTTACCACAAGTTCAATCTCTTAATGTTATAGTTTTAATATCGAGGGAACCCGAGGTAAAACGCAGTGTGAATTTTCATAAAATTAGTTATTTAACCAATTATTAATTCAAATATCGAACCCGAACAAAAATTCCTTCGATCTGACAGGCGTCGAACCCGCGTCTGTAATGCCAAACTATGGCAACCGCTTTACCAACTGAGATATAATAGATTTAGTTAGCCGACGTTACGAATCTTTCCCTTCGTTGGTTCCACTAGCGGGTCGTTTTCAAATACTGATGTCCCCACTTAGATGGTGGATGGTGTTTTGTTGCCGTTATATTGTACTTTATAGTGTACGTCGTTATAGTATCTATGAATTTTTCAATGGTATAATATAGTGCGTTTATAACTAAATCTTTTGTGTGTTACACCCATAAACCTGCTAATTGAACTCAACTGAGACTGAGTTTTGCATCGGATTTCTCGATATTATATACCACAGCTGACAAGTAAGTTTAGGGCCCTGAAATGTGGCGTATTTCATACATAGTTCTTTGAAATTCAACAACATTGCGAGGGTCCTAATGTAACTGGCAGGCAGGGATCGCAATAGGCAAAGTATATTTACCTAAAGGGACTGATACGTATAGAGCGGGTAATACCTCCTTATGAAATAATGTACTTGCTCTATATACGTGTAAGTAGCAATTATTTGACCACAGTAGCGTATTGGAACAAATGTTCTGCTTTTTATTTTTAATAATTCCGAGGTTTCAGAGTGAGCTGTTAACCACTCTATATTTATCAGTTGAAGTTTCGGTAAATATACTCTTGTCTATTCCGATCTCGAATTCTAGTAAACAAATTAGTTCAAGCCACGGAATCGGCACATCAGTTACTCTAAATACAATTTATTAGTAGTTAATTTCGAAGTTAGAATATTTAAAAAGAAATTGCACCGATTAATCACTACATACTTTAATACACTTAATTAAATAGGTAAATATATATCACATAGTACACAGGGCCACATAGTTACGTGTAATGAAAAAATGTGTTCATTACTAATATAGCGCTAAACGACTAAATCGAGTGGTGATCCATCCGTTCACACGGCATTGCACTGCATTTTTTTACCGTATAAATCAGAACCGAATATACATGTTCACACGTCGTTTGTACTGCAAAAAACGCACATCGAATATTGCAAAAAAACGTGCAGTGCAATGCCGTGTGAACGGGGGGTTAAAGTTACTTTTCCCTACGCATAGAACAGCCTTACACATGGGTGAAGCTGCCGCCATTTTCAATTTTGCATAAGTATGTGGTCGTGCGTACATAAACAATTAATTAGTATATGGCTTGCAATGGCACATTTTTTCTAAGGCATATATCATTATTCATTTCAAAATTCGTGATCAAAATACATTACTAAGTTTAAAGGCACAAATGTAAAATATATATTTTTTGTTTAATGGCACATACGGCGCTTGTTTCTAACAGTTACAAATACTCGAAGAGATTTGTCACTGTGGGTCGGATGAAATCCCATCAATATGATACTAATTCCCATTGAGATAAGGAACAATTTATATAATTTCTCAATCCAAGGGCTGTGTTTCATCGACCAATAACTGTATCCGGCTCGTTTTCAACTAGGTTCAACGGCGCCGCAACAACAGCGGCTCCTGTAATGATGTTACCGCACTTATCGACGAGGAATCTGTATGGATTGGTCAGAAGAGCCGTATTTCTGTGCAATAAGAGTGAAGAACAGGTTAAACGTACGTATTTTTGGCTCTTTTTGCACGGACGTAAGCTAGCTAAGCATGTCGTTCAAGGTTTTTGGAACGCGATGCCGCATAAGCTGCGACGCCAGGTGTCCGAGCCGGAACATTCTGGTTTATCGAATGAGATTTCGACTCGTGAAAATATAATTCGAAGGCAATTAACTAATAAGGATCCCGGTATTATAGGGAGATAACACTGTTTGGACATACCAACAATTCGTTTTTTGACGTGGAATGAAATGAAAATTGAAATCAGATAGAAAGACACGAGTGCCATGGTACATATTTTAAATGTAGCGTAAGAGAGATCGATCACTCGTTACCGATTAAACAAAGTTGGTTTAGTTCGCACGTTTTTTTATTGAGTATTATGTTGTGCGACCCAAATCGGTCTTTAGAATTTCAAAGTTAAGTTTTGCGTCTAATGTTACAATTTTAGTTTGTCCAAAAAGTATTTTTTTTTCCTAAATATATCATTGATAAAAACCATAAAGGCTAGTACAGTATACATTCTCTCGATTGAAGAAAACTTAGCAAGAAAACGTTTTCTCTAACGTATACAATAGCAAACTTTGCTATTTTACTCGGCAGCGACATACGAGAAGGTAATACAGCCGGGTAGTTATCGATAATAAATTCAGAAGTTCTCCCTTCAAATGTACAAGATTCAACAGCAATAAATTCAAAATATTGAACGTCTTTATAAAAATCTCAAGGCATGTATAGGCACTGTATATTTCAAATAGCACCTTACTTTGTGACGATGTGACAAAAGGTTCCAGTTTATTTAAAATTGTTACGATTACAACGATCTATTAACCACTTGGTTGACCGTGTCGGCAAAAATCGACAAAGCTATTTCATACCATCGAAAAAAGACACAATGAATGCGAGAACATTGAGCTGAATTAAAAATTTGGCGCGCGGTGGCGGTGACCGCGAATGATGACTTTAGTGGGGTACCGCCGATTTATTTCCTTATTATCGATAAATAGTTTTGCTCCGTCCGAACCGATTCTCACCAACGTCACACATCTTAAAACCTAATTAAATTTCATTAAAATTTCTAACACGATCAAAGAAAAATTGTTACAAAACTGTATAAATAGTTTTCATTTTATATAAACGCTTGACAATAATTCTTTGTGGTTTTAATAAAACTAATTTTTGGAAAGCATTTTTAGAAATTAAATTTATAAATCAAAATATCGTATTTTTAATCGTTCTTTCTAAAACAATACAATATTTGATAGATAGTGTCTTATAAGATTCTTCTAAACGAACAACCAATTTGTGCGTAGTGACAACATCGAAAACATGCTTATGTAAAAAAATATTTGCACTTATGTATTAGTTGCCTTAAAACTAAAAACAAAATGTCGATTCTAATACGCAGTACACCGGAACTAATTTAAAAAATGTTTTTTGGGGTTCAGCCATATCAGAATCGAGATTATTTTAATAATTGCATTTTCGTAGCAACACAGAAACAACAAACAAAAGCTGACATGTAGCAGTAAATACCTTTAATAATTGCCAAATTTCTTGGTAACAGTGGAGCTAGATTCCTGCTTATGCGAACTCGTCATGACGGACTTTCGTTCGATCGTTTCCGTAGTTATGCTTTGTTTAGAGAACTTTTTGTCCAAATTGTCAATTTCTTTCACAAGCTCCGATGGCTTTTTAACTTTGGTCACGCTGCTGGAAGATTGGTAGTCGGAGGTCTGGAATTCCGACGGCCTCATGAAGGAACGACTAGTGTCAGACGACATTTTAGAATCTAAAGTGTTGAATCGCGAGTCTAGAGTACTATAACGGGAATCGTTGTCGAATTTTGATAGTTCGTCTATGCCTTCCAGTTTGACCGGCTCGTATTTCGTGTTGGTCGTCGTTAGGTTAACAGGAGACGAACTGTAAATTTTTGTGGTCGTTATCTTTTGGGTTCCATTTGGTATAGCTTTGACCTCCGTTGTGGTTTCCTCCATGAAATTCGGGCCACCGTAACTGTGCGTCTCTTTGCCGTAAGGAGATGATATCCTTTCGAATTCCGGAGTAGGGACTTTGACTAGATCGGTACTTTTAAATTCTTGGTAATCTTTAGCGGGTGTCGATGTAACGTAGGGAGATTTAACCTCCTCTCTTGAGACAGTTTTGCTAAACTCCGATTTGGGATAAGAGGAATACGATTCGCTTTTGACTGTGAATTCGGATTGTTTCACGCCACCAGGTATGGCTTCGGTAGATTTCTGGTGTTCGGTGAAAGTCTGGCCGACTCCATCGAAAGGCTTCTTTAAGGAGGCGTATATATCTGGTTTGTCCTCAAATTTCAGTTCTCGAGCATTGAATTTTGGGCTCAGCGGAGTCTTTGGAGCATCGTAATGCTTTTCGTGTCGTTCTTTGCTGTAATGTTGAGATTCATAATGTCGCTGCTCTTCGGTTTTGTACTCAGAGGGTCGTGGCGTGTCGTAAAGACGCGTTTCGTAACTGGAAAGTTAATTTCTGTTGATTAGTTTTTTTAATTCCCTGCTTTTTAACTTTGAACTTTATTGATTTGGTGCGGAATGCCATCCATTGTGAATTATATTTTTATTTTTTTTTTACTTTTTTATAAACGTACCAATTGTTATCATTATTTCAAATGCAAATGTTTTATTTTTGTATTATTTCCGATTACCGCGTTATGAACAAGTATATCCATGATGGTAACGGTTTTATGAACAATTACTGCATTTAAAAACAATTTAGACGCGTTAAGGTGTTTCAAAGTTGAAAAAAAAAAAAGATTTCGAATGGCCGTAATTCCGCAAAAAATAATTTTAGCCAACCACCAAACATGCAAGGTTAAGAGAAAAGTTAGTAAAAGTGAAATATAGTTAAACTGTTAGCGACTTAGCTAGGCCCAATCGAGAAATTAATCTGAAAGCTCCCGTACAATGTTCAATCTGTTATACTAAAACTTAACAATGGATAAGACTCTAGGTGAGTTTTAGTATTTGTAAACCAAATCGTACGTAAGTTCTGTGGTACGTAAAATTTATTTTCAAATATAAATCTTATTAACGATAACTTGAATGCATTAAATCAAAGAGCAGTCCTTGCCGTTTCTGCCCTATTATTTATGACTGAAAAAACATAAAATCAAGTAAGTTACTCGCAAATGTAAACGCGACATTAGTCGCATTTAAAACTAATTTTAGTCTTATATTAGTTTAGTTTTAGCCCAACAGAATCACACCCCAAAGAGTAGTAAAGAAAATTGAGATGAAGGCCTATTGCAAAATATGAAATCCCAATTATTTCTGTATACTTTTACTGTTTCTTCTCGTGCTTGGTGGATACCCAGTGCGTGATAGGAAAGAGAACGAACCCAAGTAAGTCAATTACTGTTGTTCTTCATACTTTAAAAGAGACACCCGTCGCGGCGGCGGCGGCGGCGGTGCCTTTTCTCTTTTGTAGTAAATCTTGTCGGTATCACTTCCCTCAATTTTTTTGCCCTCGTTTTTTAAATACGCAGTTTGTAGTTCTGGCAGTTGTGCTGATCTCACCACTACTGTTTCTTCCATGCTCGATCTACCCATGCGGTTATAAATAAATTAGTTATTAGTTTTAGGCTAGTTTAAGGAAGTTGTAGAATCCAAGCTTGCGTTAACAAATTTCTCAATTTAGACTTACGAAAAAAAAAACATTGTAGATACCTTTAGTTATCGCAGGCTTGTCAAGTTAAATCTAAAACTACACAAGATTTAGTTATTACACAAAAAGAACTTTAGTATAATAAGTAATTTAGCTCTGGACAAATAACAGTTAAACGAAGAACAGCAAACAACATAAATATGCAATTATTATAATGTATAAAATATTTACAGAATGGTACAGAACGATGTATTTGGCATCAACGCGCGGGGTAAGCTCGTTTATTTCTTTTAAATCTTTTATTTGTAAATCCTTTTTGTAACAAATAATGTAAATGATGAATGTAAAAAGATATCTGTTTTGCACAAAGAGCAATTCCTAGAGTTTCTTGCTACTACTTGCCAGGGAAACCTGTCTTACGAATGAGAAGTAGAATTAAATCGATGCGACGATTTCAAGTGTAATTTGCTTACCTATGAAATATATATTATACGGAGTGTATGTTTTTTAAATGGGACTGTATGGGGAAATCCGAAATAACTACAAGAAATAGATACAAGGAAACTGTCTTAGGAACCATTTAAATCTTTTTTTGTGAAAATAATTATGGTATAGTCAATTTTTTGGCCAAGCGTGAGTTGTCCGTAAAAAGTAATAAAATTGATTGAAATTTTTTTTGTGCTAATCGACTCATTTTCATGAAAAATCGGTAGCCGAAGTTGATCAAATTTCATAAAATATTTTTCATACAAAATTAATATATAGACTTTCTTTTTTAATACTCAATGCTCAAGTCAGGATTTGAGCAGACTTGAGCATGATTTCAAGCACTGGAAATACGACCCTAATGGCAAGGCCATGAGTATGATTTTCAGTGCTCACTGCAATGCTAAGTCCTGACTTGAGTATTGAGTAGAGTTCTGGAATACGGCCATTAGTTTCTTATAAGTATGATTTCATTGTATGAGAAAAAAAATCGGGACAGCAGGTGTCGGTCAAATTTAATAAAATGATTTTTCATACCAAACGAATATTTTATTATTATAAAAAGTTGACTATGCCAAAATTGTTTTCATAATAAAAGACTTAATGGTTCCTAAGACAGTTTACTTAATCTTGTTTTCGGATTTCCTCATACTGTCCCATTTAAAAAAAAACACTGTGTAGTTACAAAACTACCGCAAACCTGAGGCGGTTCCTGAAGTAGGTGCGCCGTGCGGCAGGAGTGACAGTTTACGTAACAGTTATGTCGAGCTGCGCACGGGATCAATTCAACAAGGTTTTTCTGACGATATTCAATAACACGTTCATTTAAATCGCGGGCGCAGAGGCAGTGCCCCTCATGTCGTTGCGATTTAAAGCTCTGAGTGGCACAGCGACTGTAATGGATTCGGGTTCGGGCTGGCCAATCGGAGCGCAGTTGTCAATAATTGGCGTGGGTATATTATTTATAGATCGATTAACAGCCGCCTTTAACTTTTTTGGTGGCATTCCTCGAGGCATCATCGTGTACCCGAGTGTATCGACTTTAATTAACTTGTTTTATTGACATTTGTTATTTTGTTTCACTGTTAGTTAAAAACTGTTTCGATTAATTAAAATTAAATTCCTTATGGAGTTTGTTGATGTTTTTTTTATAATATTTTCCTGCTTCTGTGTCTAAGAATATTAAGATCAACATACAAACTTATCACCGGACAAGGACCAAATATACAACTCGAGGACGTATTCCAAGTAACGCTAAAAAAAAATGTTGAATAAACACGGTCATGTGAACCATTGACCACATAATACCAGAGCGTTTAATAAAGAAAGAACGACTTAACCTTCTTTTGATTTCGATTAAATGTTGTAATGAGGCCGGCGCTTCGCATGAACGTTGTTATCATCATTTAATCGTTTTTTTGGCGTTCCTCTGACTAAAACGTGTCCATAAGTACATACATAAAGAAGAAATGTGAAAGCTATCCCAGATATTAGTGACAAATATAATAAAATAGCTAATAAATGACAAAATACTGTAATTTGAGATTAGTGAGATTGCAAAAAGGACCTTTGAGATTTAAAAGAGTAAACGTAAACAACAGCCAGATTTTGTACAGTGTCATATATATGGGTGGTACAAGCTTCTTTTTTTGAACTTACTGAACGGGCATCGTTCTGTCATCTGTACGGCTGCAAACGAAATAGTCATTAAATCTAAGTCTAGATAAAAAACTAGGTCTTAATGTGGTAAATGCGGTCCGGTCTGCGGATTTTATGGTTTAGATTTTCAACTTGTTCTCGAGCGTGAAAATCTTCTAGTACATTTATTTGTTGTATATATATATACTGTACTAAACATTGAAAATAGTATTCAAAATTAATATTCATATGTATTAAGTTGGTATTGTAAGTAGTACTGGACAGAAAAAAACATTCCCTAACGATTTACTATCAGTTGGAATATACTTGAATTACTTTTGATAATGAAATCACTACACTTATCGTCGAGGACTGGGTTTGAGCTGAAAAAGCTGTATGTAAATGGAATAAGTGTCTTTTCCGCTGTTACCATATTTTCAAGCCGATTCCACTTGACAAGTGTGGTGATGAACAATTTAGTACAGTATACTTATGTACAAAGCAAAGCAACATGCCATGTAAGTTCTGTATATGTTTGTATACTTTAACACTTTTTATAAATATAAAATTTTTAAATTTGCCAAACTAACCGCTTTGGATATTTATAAACCTTTCTTTGCATCACAGTGGTGAAGGGTTCGAGTGACCGAATTTTCGTCGGTTTGATTAAGAAATTTATTCTCTAACTTAGTAGTAGTTATTAAACTAAAAATGTCTAGTATTACAACATTTGCAGCGATTTTTCTTGCGTCGGCTTATTTTCTTCAAACGTGCACCCTTGGCCACTGAAGTGCACATTTTTGTATAGAAATCAAATGTTATTTGTCATGATAAAAATCAACTTAATTTTCGCTGTTTATATACCAGTGCCCGTGACTGCATTATACAATTTTAATTTATAAAATTTATGAATACCCAAAACGTTATAAACAATCTTTAAATAGAACCTTGGAAAACATTTTTGGAACGTCTTAAACTAATCCTAAAATAACAAGTTCAAAATAGGCACAGTTCATAAGTTGTTAACATTTCGAAGGCACGTAGTTTTATTTTAAAATACTGTCTGTTTTTAGAAGTATATTAATCATCTGTGTCCGCAGGCAGCGTGGAAGGGAAAAGCAAAAGACTTCATTAGAAAATTAGTAAAAAAATGTACTTTTTTTGTTGATTCCCATTGGTTCCACTGATGGAATAGTTTAGATTTTTTTGTATTCTGATTAAAAAAAGATCAGAAATATTTGTTGTATGAAACGGTAAAACACAAGTGTTACAATTCTTATCTAGGTTAGGTGTACAATATCCCAAATACAGATACTAATGTATCACTATGTTTTTAAAAAAAATTCAGTTTAAGCCATTGAACTAAAAGGTTATAATTTTCAATTTGTAATGTAGCTATTGGGACAAAAATGTCCACCCAGTCATATTAATTTATTATTAATGGAACCAGTGGGAACAATATTTTTATTTAGTTAAATGTTGTGGGCAGATATCTCATTTGCAAAGGGTGTGGTCAACTTTTATGTTGCCAACTCGAAAAAAATAAACAGATGTTAAGCGATTTTTTAAATTCACAATAAGCGTTTATTTACACAAAGTTACTGTAGTCATTTATAATTAGAGATAGTAAACTGACAGATACTAATGTCACTTTTGTTCTCAACAAACTCACTGAAATAAAAATGGTAATAAAAACGACGTTTAAGGTTGTTAACTGCTAAAGAATAATAATTTATATGTAAATAATGTATGTGCCCCAAAACAGGTCTGTTAATTTGAAATCATCTCAGTTGTATATCGATACAGTGTCAACGGCAGCCTTTGTACGTTTGATACTGTGCTAAAAAATAGAGTAGTGGCTTGTTAGTAGCTAGCCGTCGAGCTGCCATTCAACTGCCATTGCAATTTTTTGGTATTCTGCTCTTGAACGGCGAGTCGATGACACGTGAATAATGCAGTCTACTAATATTATATATATTTAAAGATTATGATTAAACGAGATAAAAATTAAGAACTGCTTAGTACTTTCCATGGTAGGTTTAGCAAAGCAATATCTATCGTTAGTGATGCAATAAATTAATCAGAGTCATACCACTGACGTTCTATTGCGACTCAACTGTCATTGCACCTGGATTTCAGCAGAATAACAAATATATGCAATATAAACAATTAGTAGAATTGGGGCCCTGGTCATGATTCTAAATCCGACACTGTTGTGATAAGCATGCCCGCTATGGTGCCGGGCATAGCGGCTATAGTTACAGAAACCGATTTTCGGTTTGAAAATTCGATTTTACGTTAATTTTATTACAATTTAGTATTTAAAATTATTTATTTAATGTATCAAACAAACCAACGATTCGGGCACGTCACACGTCTGAATGAAAACAAATGTAATGGGATTCAATAATCGCCAAAACCTAAGAACTCGACTTATTACGATTTGTTAATTTTAATGTAGTACAGTGTTTTAAATTTCTGATTTTGACTTTTAGTTTTTATTATATTTGATTGATTTTATTAAATTATCATCCACATTAGGATTGATAAACAATTTTAATGATATATTAATTGAATTTTATAAATTGTTTCTATTTAATGTTTAATGTGAACTGGGTCACTGTTACCCGAAATAAATTAATTTTATTTCATTATTTATTAAATACTTGATTTTTCTAAATGAATACCAACAAATTGTCATATAACTTACCTTGATGACATGATTCAGTGTGAGTGAAGGCGAAACTTTAAGATAACACTATCTCTTTTCATCAAAGTCAAACAAACGTCAGTTTACTATCTTTAATTAACAATCCTAATACAGTTACATTGAACGTAAAGTGTATTTATAACTTTCACAAAATATAGTACATTAAAAAAAATGCTTTACTACAAAGTTTAACCCGAGATAATACCAACTAGGGAGTGTGCCCCGTGTATAGCAGTGGACAGCGCTGGCTAATAAACAATCGACCACACCGAGAACAATTTAAAAAGAAATGGGAGCAAATGACCGAGCCACCATTTGATGAAGTATAATACAAAGTAACTTACCGAGTAGTAAACCCTTCATAATTTTGTTTAGGGGTTTCATCTTGAGGCCTGAAGCTGGAGAAGGTTGGACTCTGTACTGTATACTGCTTCTCGTCCCTCTGGCTGTACACTTGCTGATTATAACCGTTGTTCTGATAACCGGGCGATGTTGTTGTATTTTGACTATATCCGCTTGTATTTTGACCGTAACCGGATGTGTTTTGGCTGTAACCGGTTGTATTTTGGCTATATCCGGTCGTATTTTGGCTATAACCGGTTGCATTTTGACCATATCCGGGAGAAGTCGGCGCGTACCCTGGCGAAGTGGGCGCATAACCGGGCGAAGTTGGTATGTAACCGGGTGAACTTGAGCCGTGTATGGATTGGTTGAGTTGTGAGATGTGTGACGACAGGTTCGTCGTGTTTTGTGTCGCGTGGGGTGAGTATGTTGTATTCGGACTATATGTCGTGTTCTGGAAACTGCTGTTTGGCGTTTTAAATCTAAACAAAAACAAAAATTAGTTGACTACTTAATCTTACAATAAATACAATTATTTGAACCGATTTCAAAAATAAGGAGGAGGTTCTCAATTCGACCGGAATTTTATTTATTATGTATTTTATGCGGTCCGGATTTGTGAACCGACTTTGATGATTCTTTTTTGTTGGTAAGTGTGTACCCCAGTATTGGTCTCATTTAAATTTGAAGGATATTTGCCACCACTAGTGATGCAAACTAGGGGATGGATCCGGTTTCGCGCATTTTCCTGTAACCGATTTCAATAAAACTTGGCAAACAGATGTAATTGCACCAACTTTTAAAGTGGTTTTTTTTATATAAAAACTTACAATTATTGTTATCAAGTTGTATGCAAGGTTTATGTGATATATTATATATTATTATATATTATATGACTAAGTCTATATTGAATAAGTCAATCTCGGTCGCCCAAGGTTTTGCGCTGTGAACTCAGGTTGAGGAGGTCCCGAATTCGATCTCGGCAGGACCAATTTGACAAATAAACTTTTTGGAATTGATTCTAGTCTAGATAGTCCGTGTCGTGCCTCGGAGTGAATTCCGTTACTTTGACACACATAATACAGGGGATTTCTTAATTTGAGTGGTTGATAAAAAATAAAAAGCCCACCAATGTTAAGAAAAAAATGTATCATCAATAGTGAAAATAACGAAAGCGTATTGTTGTTGAACCTTACAGCATTTAACCAACCGAGCCAAGAGCCATTAGTTCTAATTTCTAAAATTAAAAAGTTTGCCACTTTTGCGTAGAACGAGGCAAATTACTAATGTACTTCTCGGTCATGTCGCTGTACACGCACACCACTAATTAAAGTGCTGCCATCTTACCTAATTCTGCCGCTAAGAAGTAATGTGAGCATTGTTGCGTTCCGGTTTTAAAGGGCAAGGTTGCTGGTGGAATTACAGGCACATGGGACTTACCAACTTATGTTTCAGGGTGACAGGCGCAGTGGCAGTACTCCTAGACCTTTGTTATTCTGAACACTGCATAGACATGTCTCTCACCACCAGGCGCACGCCTTGTTCGTCCCCTCACTTAATATTATAAAAAAGGACGTCATAATAAACAGTTTGACCGCCGGTCTCATACCTTTGGCAGATGGGTTAGCCCGTTTATGGCGTGTCTGGTTGGTTTAATGCTATTAGATTTGAACACATCTTTACTCCTATATAGGTAACGGGCGTTGGAAAGAACGGATGAAGAATGGGTGTCTACATCATGGGATTCTTCCTGCTTAGGTATTATTAATGTTATGGTGTGTGGAATAAGAACGGTACCTGTGGTGCAGGGAAGCGTCGCTGGCGTATCCAGCGTAGTCCGTATCATCTCCCGACGTGGCGGAGGTGTCCCCCGCCTGCCGCAGCTTGTACTTGGCCTGGCGGATGGCGGTGAGGCGACCGCGGGCTTCTTCCAGCTCTTTCTCTATGCGCAGCACTTCAGATCTGTTGCGAAATCGTGGGTCACTAAAAATCTAGCTGACATTTCGCGGCTCCGCTCTGTTCCTGCGGTGCAATTGTTCGCCCGAAAGAGATTTTTATTTAGCAATGCGGGCGTCCCCTATTGCTCTTAGCCATTACACTTACTTTACTATATTAAAAAACTTTACTTTATGAAAAATCCCATAGTAGACAATTTAGTCATAATAAAATTTGTGAAGTAAACTTGATTTTCTCTTTCTAATGTACTATAGTCTGTCTTGTTTGAAGACGATACTCTACCTGAATGACAGTTCATTGCGCAAGTGTTGGCAGTTTGAGCCCGTTCGCAAGCAGCTAGTGGTTGCAGTCGATAAATATTCTATCGACTATCGATTGTATATTGGTCAAGCTTATGGAATGAATAGCCGAATTCACTATTTGTTCAATTATTGAATACAGCTTCAGTTGAATTGCCAATTTTTGTAATATACAAGGTGATAAAAAAATCACTGGGCATTTTTTTCTGTGCATAACATTCAGTAATAGAACA